TTGTGAAAATCTGTCTTACCCAAAGCCATACACCTTCAGAATTAAAGGTTTTGAATTAAAAAAATTTTCAATTATAGTTGATATTTAGTATTATTTTATATTAGATGCATAGCCCAGTGGCCAGACAGCCACACAGTCATCAAGTAATCCCCTTGATAATTTCACTACCCACCTGGGACTACATACAACTATAGTCACCACAAATACTATTCACCATATTCCCTGTGCTGTACTCTGTGTCCCCATGGCTATTCTGCACCCACCTATCTGCACCTTCAATCCCCTCACTTACTTCACTTAGTAAATTGGCACCTTTCTCCAATTTCCTTGTCCTTGAAATCCTCACTCTGTTCTCTGTATCTCTGTCTGTTTGCTTATTTTGCTCTTCAGATTCCATATATAGGCCAAAGCATATGGTTTTGTCTTTCTCTGTTTGATTTATTTCACTTATAATATCCTCTAGGTCCATCCACATTGTCACAAATTGTAAGATTTCATTCTTGTTTATGGTCACTCATCTGTTGATGGGCACTTGGGTTGCTTCTACAGCTTGACTATTGTAAATAATGCTATGGTGAACATGTGTAGGTGCATATATTATTCTTTTGATTTAGTGTTTTGGGGTTTTTTGGATATATACCCAGAAGTGGAATCACTGGGTCTTAAGGCAGTTCCATTTTTAGTTTTTTGAGAAACCTCCATACTGTTTGCCACAGTGGCTGCACCAAACTGCATTCCTACCAACAGTACACAACACTGTTGCTAACACCCTTGCCAACATTTGCTGATTTACTGATGACAGCCATTCTGACAGGTGTGAGGTGATAATTTGTATTTTTGTAGTGATTAGTGATGTTAAGCATCATTGTGTGTGTGTGTGTGTGTGTGTGTGCCATCTGTGTGTACTCTTTGAAGAAATGTCTGTTCAGGTCCTCTTCCCATTCTTTAATTGTTGTTTGTTTGTTTGCTTATTTGGTGTTGAGTTGTCTGAGTTCTTTATAAATTTGGAACTCCTTATCAGATATGTCATTGACAATATCTTCTTTCATTTAGTAGGTTTTCTTTTTGCTTTGTTGATTGTTTTCTTTGCTGTGCAAAAACTTCACAGTTTGATGCAGTCCCATTTGTTTATTTTTTTGTTTTCCTTGCTTGATGAGATATACCAGAAAAAATATTACTAAAAAAAAGTGCATACTCTGGTTCTGAGAGCATCCAAACAGAAGACACATGGTCTTGGGTCAGAGCACGACCCGATCTTTGGATGACAACTATAGACCAAGGTCCTCTACCAGGTCAGTGTTGAGAGGGTTTTAGGATAAGCTCAATTTGCATAGGCTATCCTAGGTCGTGTCTTGCCGTAGCCCTTGCTTACATCTCCTGCTCTCTGTCCATCCTTAGGAATTATCCTTTTCTACTATGTCTTTTTCTTTATTCTAGGCTTTTTGGAATTAAATAATATTTCCTTCACTCCTAAAAATATTTTGATGACTCCTTACATTAACTTATGACCAAGTAAAGGGATGAAGGCATCATCTATTTGAGTGTTTTAATCTTTTATAATAAAGCAGTGATATAAATTTATTGTGTGCCAATAAGTAGCAATAGCTACTCAAACTCAAGGATTTCTTTTTGTTTAGATCCCATTTTTAGTACATACGTGGGAGATATTAGCCTATGGGTTAAGGATTTAATGTTATTTCAAGTTCTAGGGTAGCTTTTCACTTCCATCTTTCATTTTTCAAATCTTAGACTTTATAGTAAATATTTTAATATTTTGTTTTGTAGGAAAACTGGGGTGGAAGCAGTTTGTGTTCAGAGTCAGATTACTGCATTGCAAATCCATATAGACGAATGTTCTTACATTTTGTTTTGTTTTCAAACTACTACCCATGGTTGAGTTCTAAGCATTTTCTATGATAAATAATTAATAATAATAATAATAAAAATACCATCACCAACAACAATATGGAAGCAGGTACTTTCCTTTTCTCTTCAGTTGGCATTTCACATCTTTGAGTTACCTTTAGCCTCATTCAGCTTTTCTTATTTTTTCATCTGAGCAAATCTGTTTTGACTTTTTCTAAAATAAGTAACTTGACAATTCAAGGGTTAGAGCAGTCTGGTCCACAGGACCACCCATGCTTGGGCTATGAGGACTTTGCTCCACACTATTTATTCATAAGTCTGGGACAGCTACTGGTGAGGAATTTTAGAATGCGTCACAGTTCTAGACATTAAGTGCTAGATGTAGCTGTGGTTGCTGTCACCTGCTCTGATATATTGTGCTCTGCTATTGACATTAAGAACATTCTCTTAACCTGTTATGTCTTTCTGTATTTTTCTCCTTTCTATAAAATTTTCTAAAATGATATTTTTGTGAAGTAGATATATAACCCTTTCAGGTTAACAGATGTACGTGCTTAAGAGATCTGACCTTCTAGGGGCATCATATTGAACAAATAAGATTTTACATAGAGATTGTATTTTTTAAAAATATATTTTATTGATTATGCTATTATAGTTGTCCTGTCCCCCCTACCCCCTTTATTCCCCTCTGCCCTGCACACACCCTCCCACCCACATTCCTCCACTTTAGTTCATGTCCATGGGCCATATGTATAAATTCTTGGGCTTCTACATTTCCTATACTATTCTTACCCTCCCCCTGTCTATTTTGTGCCTATCATATATGCTACTTATCATCTGTACCTTTTCCCCCCTCTCACCCCCTCCCACTCCCCAGCTGATAACCCTCCAGGTGATCCCCATTTCTGTGATTCTGTTCCTTTTCTAGTTGTTTGATTAGTTTGTTTTTGTTTTAGGTTTGGTCGTTAATAACTGTGAGTTTGTTGTCATTTTACTGTTCATATTTTTTATTTTCTTTTTCTTAGGTAAGTCCCTTTAACATTTCATATAATAAGGGCTTGGTGATTATGAACTCCTTTCACTTGATCTTATCTGGGAAGCACTTGATCTGTCCTTTCATTCTAAATGATAGCTTTGTTGGACAGAGTAATCTTGGATGTAGGTCCTTGCCTTCCATGACTTTAACTACTTCTTTCCAGCTCCTTCTTGCCTGCAAGGTTTCTTCTGAGAAATCAGCTGTAAGTCTAATGGAAACTCCTTTGTAGGTAACTGTCTCCTTTTCTCTTGCTGCTTTTAAGATTCTCTCCTTATCTTTAATCTTGGCTAGTGTAATTATGATGTGCCTTGGTGTGCTCCTCCTCGCTGAGCTTCCTGGACTTCCTAGAAGTCTATTTCCTTTGCCAGATTGGGGAAGTTCTCCTTCATCATTTGTTCAAATAAGTTTTCAATTTCTTGCTCTTCCTCTTCTCCTTCCGGCACCCCTATGAATTGAATGTTGGAACATTTAAAGATGTCCTGGAGGTTCCTAAGCCTCTCTTCATTTTTTTGGATTCTTGTTTCTTCCTTCTGTTCTGGTTGAATGTTTATTTCCTTCTTCTGTTTCACACTGTTGATTTGAGTCCCTGTTTTCTTCCCATCACTGTTGGTTCTTTGTACATTTTCCTTTATTTCATGTCACATAGCCTTCATTTTTTCCTCTAATTTGTGACTATATTGAACCAATTCTGTGAGCATCCTGATTATCAGTGTTTTGAACTGCGCATCTGATAGGTTGACTATCTCTTCTTTGCTTAGTTTTATTTTTTCTGGAGCTTTGATCTGTTCTTTAATTTGGGACTTTTTTTTTTTTTTGGTCTTGGCACGCTTATTATGTAGCAAGGGTCAGAGCTTTACATGTTCACCAGGGTGGGGCAACAACCCTTGTTGCTGCCTTGCAACCCTGTAAGTGGGGCAGGGGTCTGGGAGGGAACAATGGCACTTGCTCTACCCTGCCGGATTTCAGTCACTTCCCCCACTTCCCACAAGCAAATTGGGCCCTTGTGGTGCTGATTCCCATGTGGGTGGGCTTGGTACATTCTAGGACCCTGTTGGTCTCTCCAATGAACTCTCCTGCAAGGCCAGGAGTTTCTCCTGCTGCCACCTCAACTCCCACAGGTGTTTTCAGTCAGAGGTTTGAGGCTTTACTTCCTGGAACTGGAACCCTGGGTTGTGAGGACTGTCTAGGTCCCCAGTTGTTCCTCCTGGTTTATCTTCACTGGAATGTGGGACTGCCCAGTTCGCAATCTGCCACCTTGCCCTGCAGCCACCTCCTTGCCCTCCCTGGTCCTCTAGCCACTGCTTTGCCTCAAGTCTTCTCTGTCCAGCTGCCCATCTCCACCCCTCCTACCGGCCTCGATGAATGATTCTTTTTTAACTCCTTGGCTTTTGGGCTTCCATACAGTTCAATGTTCTGTCAATTCTGGTTGTGTTTTGTTGTTAAATTTGTTGTTGACCTTCTTTTGGTTGTGCAAGGAGGCACAGTGTGTCCATCTACATACACCTCTATCTTGGCTGGAAATCCCAAGATTGTTTTCTATATCCATGTAATGGCATTGTATTGCTTGACATATGATAGATACTCTGTAGATGTTATTTATCATGAATTTTTGAGCTTAAAAGTTTATTAAATGAAGTCCAATTAGTACATTTTTATTGAACTATGTACTATATTTAGGTGAGGAAATTAAAAATATTGGTAAGGCAGCTAGTCACTTAGCAGATTCCTCTGTTAGCTGGAGATTATCTCAAATTTATAAGCTATTTTACTATGGGAGGCATTAATGGTAGCAGTAGAAACATAGACCTAGTGGAGTTGAAAGGAAGGAAGCATTTAGTTATTCCTGGCAGGGAAGGAGATGATGTCAAAAGGACGTAGTTGTCTGGCCATCAGATCAGATCTAGTCTGTGAGGACAAGGAGGGTGAGGAAAAAAAAACAACCGTGTTTCACTTCTCTCAGAATCTATTTGAAAGATAAACTAGGTTTCCTGTCTGACATTAATATCACAGGCACTTTGGAATGTTTGCTTCTTTTATAACCAGAGTTGTTTTTCCCTGAGTCCCATGTTTACTGTGTTTTCATATCCTATCTCTTAAGAATTGCCGGAGGTTCCATCAATTGAGGAAGAAGTAGAAGAAACAGAATCTTGGGCAAAGCCTCTGGTTCACCTTTGGCAGACGAAGTCCCCAAACTTTGTGGCTGAACAAGAGTATAATGCAGCCATGGGCAGAATGGAGCCATACTGTGCTATCTGTGCTCTCCTCATGCCATACTACAAGGTAATGAGAATGGAGGGGATCATTGTCAAGGTTTCCTTTCACTGATATACTTCCTGCTACAGTAAAAGCACAGGTGAATAATTGTAAGGTAAGGATGCACATGAAAAAGAAGACATTAATACTTATGTAGCTAATGGCCACCATAGAGCACCAAACAGAATTTTTAGTCACTACTTGAGAGGCATTTCATCATTTTTTAATAAATGATTGGTTTATTTGTTGACCATAGTTTATTTCAGTCAAGGGACAATTCCAACCTTTTTTTCTACCCTTTTCACTAAGAAACACAGAACTTAAAGCTTAAAAAGAGAGATCTTAGACCTAGTCTGTTTTATGCTTGAAAATATCACTCTCAATAATATAGATGTCAGCTCTGGGGCCACATTTAAAGTGTCTCTCTGTTTTCGCACATGGAACATGCAAAAGACACAGCAGGATTCAATTTAAAGTGAATTGTCCAGCTTACCCTCATCAGTAGCTATGCATGACGCCAGCTCTGCATCGTGTTTTCATAGCATTCCATATCCATTATCCTGATTACATTTTAGCTCACCGAGGGCCACGTTTTCCAGCTCTAATAGACAAAAAGATCTTTAAGAACCTGGTAAGGGTGATGGAATTACCTGATAAGATAAAATGAAGTGTATTGATATGAAGATTATGTTATGGGTTGTATTTTCACTAATGGAATTGAAAATATTTATTCAAGATCACATCTTAGGGTTCCATGTAAAGTAAATGCTTTTCTGTTCAGATATTTCAGAGCATGTAAGTCTGTGATATGCCACATATTTAGATCTTGTAAATAGAGGAAGTACGGTAGATTACTCATCTTAGAATATGGCCCTGGTGAGTGACAGTCATTTTTGTTTTTCTTTTAAGCCACTAAATTTTTGTTTTCTTAGAAAAACTTCACCTTTTCTTGATTCTTATTTCTATAATGTAATCTGCCTGTAATATTTGCCTAATAATTTAAAAATTCCCACTGAAGTTTAGGGATATTAATATCAGGTCTCTGGAGATAATAAGGTGGTTATTAATTAGAGTTTTAAATAAACAGTAAATATTTTTAATATATTTTTTATTAGAGATGACAGTCTTGTTTTGTACATTATATTTTTTATTTAGTGACATGTACCAGATCTTTTTGTGTTGATGTTTTCAAACTCTATGGAGAGGCAGAACCATTTGAGGACTCTCGCAATACTTGTGCATGGCTTTAAACTTAGTTCTTTACAACACTCCATTCAGGTGTTACTGGTAAGATTCTTCAGTAAATGAAACCAAGTTTGTTAACCTAGTGCAAGTAAAGAAATGAAGAAAAATTCATCAGAAAAACTGGTGCTTTCCATGAACTATTTATGTAAGAATATAGTTTTAGTAGCTCATCACTTTCTCATACAAATAGATGCACAGAATGGGGACCTGAGGAGGACATTGGTAAAAAGCTAACAGCTGGGACAAAAAGAACATGAGGAAAAACTGAAGCTCAAATTTAGTGGATGGAATAGCTGTTAGTAGATTTGAGTGATCAGAACATATGATGAGTTCTTTTCCATGTTTTTTAACTCATGTGGAAATCCTATGTTTTTCAGCCAGATAGCAGCAATGAAGAAAATGATTCTAGATGGCAGACAAAACCAGATAAAGTGGTTACTTCAGGAGGAAAGACTAAGCCCCTCATTCCAGAGATGTGTTTTATCTATAGCGAAGAAAATATAGAATATTCTCCACCTAATGCCTTCCTGGAAGAGGATGGAACAAGCCTTCTGATTTCCTGTGCAAAGTGTTGCGTACGGGTTCATGCAAGTAAATGAATCTCTCTTCATTAATTGCTGGCTTTTCAGTGCCTCACAGTCTTTATTTCTTACCTCTTTGTAACCTGTCAAAGCTATTGCATTGAACTATTGGTATTCTTAATAGCTAGATAATTCTTTCTCACATTTCTTCTAATGAATGTATGAGTATGTATAATTGTTCTTTTTTTCTCCAGTTTTATACAGTGTCAGTGGAGAGCAGGTCTGGGTTGTTGTTTGTTTGTTTGTTTGTTTGGTTTTAGATGTAGGGTCACTGTGGACTTCATTTTACATGCTTGAATTTTACTTATTTTAATCTATAGTTTTTAAAAACTTAGTTTTAATCTCTGATGTTGATTCATAATTCTTTTTCTTCGTGGCTTTTTAAAGAAGAATATTCATTTCTTTTCATTGATGATTTTGGGAATTATTGGTGAATTTAGTTAATGAGTTAAATTTTTATTCTTTTTAAGTGTAGGGAGATCCCTTTTGCCTTTCATGGGAGAATAGTCATTACAGGTGTTTTCCCTAGGACTAAAATAGCTAGGCTCCATACCTGTCTTAATTTGGTATTTTTACATGATTGGATAAGTGGTAAGTAGAGTTTTTTAATTGACCTGCCATGTGAATCCTCTCAAATATGTAAAAGAACCTTTATATATTACAAGTCTATTTGAAAATATTTTAATATTACAGATCTTACCAAATCACATATTCTTTTAACATACTTAAGTAGAGTTTATCTCTGTCAATGTAGTCTCAATGGTTTATAATTAGGTATTACCTGTGTATTTACCTCAGTGCAATACCAGTGTTACATTACGTTTGAACCAGCCTTAGTGCCTGTCATTTATTTAATTAGATACATTAGCTTCCTCAAAGAATTTGAACATATCTGCTTGAAATATAATTATAGTAACCTTCTTATTATATTTAGATCCATTTTTTATTATTTATATCAATTTGTAACATACATACACACATTCACCCTACATTTTATATGTATAGCAGAGACAAAGCACCATTTCACAAAAAAATTAGGATTTTAATCTTGACTTCTGAATATACTAGCTATGCAGTTTAACCATAGTATTTTGTAAACATGTGCTTGAACTAAACATTTTATGATTTTGCTTAACTGTGGTAGACTTTTCTTTAGGTAATTACAGTTCTGTTGTTTTCTCTTCCCATCTCAAATGTTATAGCAATGTGACAGTAAAAATCACTTATTTAAATATATGAAATCCTCTTATTTCAAGAAGTCAGGGTAACAAGTTCGTTGGTTCTACATAATTGCTGCATGTGTTTGCATCATCAGCTATGTCCTTATATAGTTATTTTGAGCCAGGCATATGCGGAATAGACAAGTGGAATTGAACACATTCCTTTATCCCTAAACATGAATTGTGCACCCTCTGTCCCTATCACTGGAATTGAAGCTAGTTAAATAGAATTTTTGAAGTGTAATTTCAAATTACAGCAATTTAAAAATATTATGTCAAGGTTTAGTTGTTTCATTTTAAAACTTCTCCAAACTTTGCTTCATGAATTACAACTTATTTCGGAATGTTTTGCATGAGTAAAAGAGTAGACAAGATAATTTAGAAATTTTATGATTGCCCATAAAAGAATTATCAATATTCTCTATGAAAAGTAATGTGAGCATTAGTTACTATTAAAACCCACACTCATATTTGGAGGGACTTATATCCTATTAGATATGAGGCATGAGAACCAAAAGTATCTTTGTTTTATCCTAAGAATCAAAAATTGTATGGTAGTCAGTTGCTCTGATTTTATTTATCAAGTGCTAAGATGTGTAATCTGTCACAATGCAAAAAGACTTAATTTGTTAACTCATGTTATTATTTTATAGGTTGTTATGGTATCCCTTCTCATGAAATTTCTGATGGATGGTTATGTGCCCGGTGCAAAAGAAATGCATGGACAGCAGTAAGTAGCTTATGTTACTATCTCTTAACTCCTCTTCTCACACCACTCACTGTGGACACAGTTAAATCTAGTGGTAAGGTAAGATTGTGCACATGCTTCTGTGTGCAGTTCCACCCTTACTGTATTTCTAGTCTTTTCTTTTTAAATCATTCACAGTGTTGCCCTATATTCATTCTAGAAATAGTAAATAAATTTTTAGGTATCACTCCTTATCTCTGGAACCTATGGATACTGCCAGTTTATCAGAGCACGTTCAAAACATTGTTCTCTTTTGCAACTCTTGAAAATAACTATTCAAAGTAACAGTTAAGGTGGGGAATCTTCTCTAAGGATGCCATGCTCATATATAACTCTTCAACTAGCATGAAGACTTCCCTCATTTATTTATTCATATATTCACATTGCAATATATTTTAGAGTTCTCTTGTCCCTGGTACTGCTGTGAACTTGAGACAGACCCTTCAACAACAAATGATCCCCTACTTGGGGGACACAAACTTCTCTTCATTTAAATTGTTTCTCCTGGACTCCATTGAAACTTTAGCTCAATATCCAAGTATTGAGCCCTATTTCATTAATCAAATATGTCACTTATTTTGCCATTTAATTGTATGCTGCCTTAATTTTTCTTAAAAACTTCTCTTTCAAGAGGTATCAAAACATTCCTGAGGATAAGAACCTGTCAGATCTGAACACCATGTTCCTCACTCTTGATCTTAGAGCAAGTGCTCAGCTTGATGGTTTTGATTGTAATAAGTAGCTATGGTTGCTACTGACAGTGATTGCTAATGACGATGCATTAAATTTCCTTGCAACCAAAGTTAAAAACCTGAAGGACAGAATAACGAACATGCCTTGCATGATGAAAATTTATGGCATGATTATGTATGTTTAGCTCTCAGTGTTGAAATAGACACATGGTGACTGTAAATTAACGGTGTCCATGGGGATGTCTCTCTGAATGTTCTTTTGCTGACATTCTCTTTTGGCTAGTGAAGGGGAAATCGGTAACACTTTTTCTAGTTTGAGTAATCTGATATATTTGATGTTAGAGGTTAAATATCCAACTTAAGAAGACTTTTCATTAGTGGGTCCAGAAAACATTTTGGTATGTCCTTTAGTGCGGTCATTATGTTAACCAAAACTATGTAAGTGTAGAGAATCTGTAAATTAGCCAGGAAGTTCTTATGATAAATATATTCAACTTTTGTTTATCATGCAGGTCTTATTCCCATTGTAGGATCCAAAGAAAAGCTTATAGAATCAGTTTGACCAGGGCCTGTCTTTTCGTTTATCCTCAGGTATAGGCTTAGAGATATGCTATTCCAGTTCACCAAGGTGTGAAGAGATTTCTGTTCCATCCATGGTTACTACCTGGCTCCTGTGCTCACACACTGAGCAGTTTGTTATTTATCAAAGGTACCACTGTTCTTTGCATGGCAGAGCCAGGGCCAGACCTAGGCCACTCACCCTGATTCTAAGTCTGCTTCTAATTAATTAAGCTGTTTTCCTTAAGCATGTCTTAAGAAGGAAATGCTTAGATTAACCACTTTTTGGAATTGACTTAAAACATTTTTATATTAATCTTAACCCCCACACCCTTAGGATATACAGTGTTTTTATTTTAATATTGATACCATATAAACATTTCAACTTGTAATAGAAATGGAATTCTTGAATAGAACTTTACAATGATCTTTTAGAACTACATAATTTCTTATTTCTAAGTGGAAGTAATGCAGATTCACAGTAAGCTAATTTTTTTAAAAAAATTTATCCATTTTGAGTGAAGTTTGTTTATGAAGCTTTATTTAAAATCTTTTTCTCCTGAGAAATACTTGAATTGCAGTTTAGGCATTGCAGAAAAGTGACTGATAATATTGATATTTTCTCTTTAACTCCCTTATTTAGTGTGATAGTAAGTGTTGCAATATTAAGTTTTACTAAACATTTGAGTATGATTCTTTGGATTTTTGTGGCTGGAATGATGGCATTTAAAGTATCCTAGACTTGACTTCTTTAAGAATCAATCTCATGTTGTCAGTCTGAGGTTTCAGTGGAGCCCTAGACTTTCTTTGAAATGGAGGCTTTAAAGGAGCTAATTGAACTCTAACAATCTGGGAGGTTAGATGATATTTCATTGCTGGCATGTACTTCACTAACTCTAATTCTTAATTATTTCCTGAGATTTTATTTTTAAATATACGTTGTGAAGGTAAGATTTATTCATCATGAATGCAAAATACTCCAATAGCATATTTTGCTTGGGTTATACATTTATTCAACAAATGTGACTGTTCTACTTAATTCTATATCCTTTTGTGATGAGTGCTTTAAAAATCTTGAGGGTAAGAAGGAGGAACCCTGAAACATCTTGTGTCATTCTCATAAGGTATATGTGAGAATTGTATGTGGTGGTTCTTGCTTTAAAGATTCTTTTAAAAAAGAGTATCCATTGATGGATCAATAGATAAAGAAAATATATACATATACATATACATATATATACGCGCGCGTGTACACACACACACACACACACACACACGCACGCATGCAATGGAATATTCAGCCCTAAAAAGAATAAAATCCTGGCATTTGTGACAGTGTGGATGAACCTTGAGGACATTATACTAAGTGAAATAAATCAGACAAAAATACTTTTGCTTTCACTTCTATGTGTAATTATTAAAAAAAAAGTGGAACTCATAGAAACAGGATAGATAGGTGATTGCCAGTTGTGAAGGGAGTGGGGAAAATGGGTAAATGTAGAACAAGATGAATATGTTCTAGGGATCTAATATATAGCACAGTGACTATAATTAACAACCCTGTATTGTATATTTGAATGTTGCTAAAAGAGTAGATCTTGAAAATTCTCATTGCATACCCATACAAAAAGGTAACTGTGAGGTGATGGATGTATTAACTAACTTTATTTTGGTAGTCGTTTCTCAATATATATGTGTATCAAATCATCATATTGTAGACCTTAAACTTACACAATATTACGTGTCAGTTATATTTCAATAAAGTTGGAAAAAATGGGAGACTATAACAGTAACTACATGATAGGATTAGATATCAGTAATTTAAATTTTGGGAGCAAGGGCATCTTAGGGATTATTTCACCCCGTCCCAGGATATAACTAAGTAAGTTCATATATTAGATTTGTCAGTGTCGTCCTGAACAAGGTAGTTGAGGATTTACAGAAGTTGAGGATCAATACCCACAGACCAGCTGTCTTTTTATTTACCAATTCAAAAGAGTGGGCATCACTCTGGACCCTACTGCCCGGATAGTTTTTAAGAACTGCAGGCAAGAACTTTGTCTTGTTTATCTCTGTAACACTCCTAATACCTGGTATAGTGCTGGGTCATTCTGAACTGGTAGAGCATAAATAGGAAGGTTGTGATCATGGTGATATGGGCTGGATTTTTATCTGACTTTCAGTGCTTGCAGTGTTTCTCAAGTTTTGGTTTAGTGCTCACTGTTTCACTTTGCTACCATTTCTGTACTTAATCTATTCATGTCAATTAAAATAAGAAGTAAGAGGCTCTATTTGAATGTCATGTGTTGGAGGAAGAACAGTTATAAATTTAGGATTATACCCTAAGTTGGATTCTAGGATCCTGGCGGTATGCCCAATGAAATGAAATGGAACAATCCAAGAGCTGCATCCCCAAATACCTATCCTGAGATCCAGGCTGTATAATCATCCTAAAAGTATCATTTCTTTGTGCCTATTTGTCCTATGTCAGTACTGCTCAGATAAATGGACACAACTCTCTGAAAGCTATGTTTTGAGTTTATGGTTCATTATAATCCAGCTTTATTAGATTATTTTATTTTCAGCTCTGTATGTTTTCATCCTTTTTGTGATTATATGATTCATTCTGGAGCAGTTTTTATTTCCTTTACTATAATATCACTTCTCAGCACATTTCAAACATTACCAGGTTCTGCCTTTAGGCATAGAATGTCAATATTGTGATTCTAGCTTGTGTTCCTTGTTAATTTGATTCTTAATGTGGATGAAATCACTTTTGACCTAAATTACTATAGTTTGTATCTAATCTGTTTATTGATTTACATGGTATAATGACTATAAGTTACTATTTTTTAAATTTAATTTATTTATTTTTAGAGAGGGAAGGGAGGGAGATAGAGAGAGAGAGAAACATCAATGTGCGGTTGCTGGGGGTTATGGCCTGCAACCCAGGAATGTACCCTGGCTGGGAATCGAACCTGGGACACTTTGGTTCCCAGCCCGCGCTCAATCCACTGAGCTACCCCAGCCAGGCTTTATAAGTTGCTATTAAAAATATAATGCTAATATGTTTGCTGTAAAACACAGAATTTATATTGTTTTCTTCCAGGTTTTCCCCTACTACTTTCTTATTTTCTTCTTTTTTTAGGTTCAGTTGTTCATAGTTGTAAGCTTGTTGTCATTTTACTGTTCATATTTTTGATCTTCTTTTTCTTAGATAAGTCCCTTTAACATTTCATATCATAAGGGCTTGGTGATTATGAACTCCTTTCTCTTGACCTTATCTGAGAAGCACTTGATCTGTCCTTTCATTCTAAATGATAGCTTTGTTGAATAAAGTAATCTTGGATGTAGGTCCTTGCCTTTCATGACTTGGAATACTTCTTTCCAGCTCCTTCTTGCCTGCAAGGTTTCTTTTGAGAAATCAGCCAATAGTCTTCTAGGAACTCCTTTGTAGGTAACTGTTTCCTTTTCTTTTGCTGCTTTTAAGATTCTCTCCTTATCTTTAATCTTGAACAATTTAATTATGTGTCTTGGTGTGTTCCTCTTCGGGTCCAACTTGTTTGGGACTCTATGAACTTCCTGCATTTGTATATTTATTTCCTTTGCCAGATTGGGGAAGTTTTCTTTCATTATTTTTCTTAGATACATTTTCAACTTCTTGTTCTTCCCCTTCTCCTTCTGGCACCCCTATGATTTGGGTATTGGAATTTTTAAAGTTGTCCCAGAGGT